GCCCCGCTCCGTGTCCCAGCCCCGCTCCGTGTCCCACAGGTGCCGTGACCGAAGTGAAAACGGACATCTACGTGACCAGCTTCGGGCCGGTGTCCGACGTGGAGATGGTAAGGGCCCCCTCACCGCCCCTGCTCTCTTTTCTCGGGATTCATTAGGGTGGCATCTGAGTTGACCGTCATTAAAGCAGATTACGAGGCTTAATCTCCTTGACAATCTCTAGGGCCCAGCAGAGCAGTTTGGCTGGAGCCGCATCCAGCTATTTCCCGGCAGCGACAGCCTGAGGGGCACAGCCTCGGTGAGGGCACGGGCCAGGGGTTAAAGACGCCTCGTTAGCCCCGCTAAGAAGATTCTGAGCACCTGTGGCCCGGTACAGTTTTGCAGGAATGCTGCTTGGAAGGAGACGACCTTACGAGCAGCTGCAGGGGAGTGGTGCCACTTCAGAGACAGCTGCCCCTTGCCATGCTGGGTGCCCCCAAATTCAGGGAGCTGCAGACTTGGGTGAACTCTGTCATTCCAGCAGCAGCCCAGGAAAGTGTCCTGGGAGTGAGGATGGCATTGCTGTTCTCATTCTGGACTTGGGTTGCTGTTTTGCCCTTGTACACCCTCTCCAACAGCAGCTCGCCTAAGCCTGCAGTCCGGTTTGCAGGCAAGGAGCTGTGGGCTCCAAGTACAACCAAAAGTTTTCCTGCAGCTCTTCATCAGTCAAGCCAAGAGAAGGCACAACCTTGCATTCTCACAAAACTTGACCTCAGCAAAGGTTTAGCTCCATTTCCTAAGCAACTTTTGCAGGGAGCTCCTTTCTGAAGGCTTGTGAAAATATTACTAAGAATTCTTGAAAAAAAATAACATAGACTAATATTAACTTGACACCATAATCCTACTGTGAAGTGAGATTCAGTCAGATCAGTCTTTTCTTTGTGAATATCCAAGGGAAGCTGCAGAAGATTGACTGAGCAAGTCTTTTTGTTTCTGGCAATTAAACGTTGATAGTTTGGGTTTGCACTTTGAAAGGATACTAAATTAGACATTTGTATCTCCTTAGACCTCAGTCACTTGGAATTAAATCATTATCTCTGAGAGGACAATGGGGTTTTTTCCCTCACTCATATTGAATTACCTGCTCACTGATTCACTTCTACCTATTCTTCAAATAATAAGAAAATAGGATATGTTTTCATGGACGACTTTTTTTAGTAACTACTTAATGGTAATAGGATGGGGTGTTTAAGCAGTAAATGAAGTGCCATTGGCATGTGTGTCAGGTTGTGTCATGGAGTTCCTGTTCATACAGGCACTCAGGACTGCTGACCCCCGCACAGGAGTCAACCACCTCTTTATTCTCCACAGGAATACACAATGGATGTCTTCTTTCGGCAGACATGGACTGATGAGAGGTTGAAGTTTAGTGGGCCAACTGAAATTTTGAGATTGAACAATTTAATGGTCAGTAAAATTTGGACACCAGACACATTTTTTAGAAATGGAAAAAAATCAATTGCTCATAATATGACAACTCCTAACAAACTTTTTAGAATTATGCAGAATGGAACTATTCTTTACACAATGAGGTGAGAGCCTATTTTTCTGATTTTGGTTGGCCTTTATTTTTGATTCTATCAGCAGTTCCTGCATACCATTTTTTTCATTGTCACCTACTCTAATGTGTTCCAGACTAACCATTAATGCTGATTGTCCCATGCGGCTGGTGAACTTCCCTATGGATGGACATGCTTGTCCACTGAAGTTTGGGAGCTGTAAGTTTGTCTGCATCTCTCAGTTCATTATAGTAACACATTGGTCTACATGTATGTGAGAAGATCAGAAGTAAGATCCTAAGACATTACTTAATGACATAGCTGAAATTTTTTATTATATTTTATACTGGAATTTTTTTTCTTCTGAGACTCAGACCATTCATAAGGACATGGACTGATTCACTGAAGGGTGACTGTTAAACCATATTTTATTGTTGATTATTTTATACATCTAGTAGTCAAAGTTGGTCCCTCAAGAAGGAACTATATTACTTATAGTTTTGAAAATATGTAGTAGATCTGTGTTAATCAATTCTGAAAATATTTAGTTGAGCCGTGGTACTCAGTGTATGTGTTTTACAGCAAATTAAGAAACCAAAGCTAGTGCATATCAGGTCCCACCTCAGCCATTCTCTTATTGTTGAGGGGGTTTAATTTTGTCATTAATAATGGTAGGAGCAGCATCCATGTTTTTACAGTCATTTGGGCCACAAAAGGGATTATTCTACTTATTTTTTCCATTGCTTAGAAAATACATAATTAGTAATGGTAATTTTTCCCTCTGTAACTCAGATGCTTATCCAAAAAGTGAAATAATTTATACTTGGAAAAAAGGACCCCTGCATTCTGTAGAAGTACCACAGGAGTCTTCCAGTCTTCTCCAGTATGACCTCATAGGACAAACTGTATCTAGTGAAACAATTAAATCTAACACAGGTAAGATGGAGCCATGTGGGAAATACTGACATTATAAAACACATCTTGAAAATAAATTACAGGGTTTTTCTCATATTGAACCAAATTAGTTTAACTGTCTTTTGTTATTCTAAAATCTAAAGTCCTTGGATAGACTAACCATTGTCTCTTAAAAGATAGCTTTTCAATACAGCCTCTTTAAACATAGAACTTTTCATGATATTTGGAAGAATTCCACCTGCCTCCCTGCCCCAGTGAAAAAAAAAATGAATATTATTCTCCTTTGTTTCCATAAGGTCACTTTACCTTTTTTTAAGCAGCTTATTTTTATTATCCACTAGGAGGCCTGTAAGTGATTTCCTCAGAACATATTACGTTGGGTTTAAGCCAATAATGTTTACTCATATGTTGCCAAAATAATGCTGACATATTTGTCTCTTAACAGGTGAATATGTAATCATGACAGTTTATTTCCACTTGCAAAGGAAGATGGGCTACTTCATGATACAGATTTACACTCCATGCATTATGACAGTCATTCTTTCTCAGGTGTCCTTCTGGATTAACAAGGAGTCTGTTCCAGCCAGAACAGTTTTTGGTATGCTGCACTGAGGTCTTTGAACAGCTCAGCATCACATGTATCATTCATTCATTCCTTTCATTGCTTGTTTGTTTTAGGCGAATATTCCCTTCAGCTGCTCTATTTCCATCTTCAAAGGAAAATAGGCTACTATCTCATTCAGACATACATTCCATGCATCATGACTGTAGTCCTGTCTCAAGTTGTGTTTTGGATCAACAAAGAATCTGTTCCAGCAAGAACCGTGGCTGGTATTTGTGTTTTGTTCCTTTATCATTCATTTCATTCACTGTATTGAATCCTTTGTGTCAGATACTGTAATCCAGTGAGGACTGGGAAACACAGCTGGGACGTTTCAGTGAACAAAAGTAAATACTAAAATTAAACTAAATGATATTCAATCTGTCCATGAGGGTCAAAATTCTTTAGTCAAAATGTTTGATCAGCCAGACTTATTTGTGATATTTTTCAATATATTTTTTTATGCAGGAAGGGACAATTTCAGAGTAAACATCAACCTCTCCATTTTCTAAAGAGGAATTTTTGTCCTGTGGATCTGTCATTTTGTGAAACCAGTATGTGCTAAAACTTTAAAAGAAAAAGTAAAATGCCATGGAATGGAATGATTCTCTCTGCCATAAGGTACCTCCTGGAGCAGTCATTCTGGAGTGCTCCCTGCCCTCGGCTGCTCAGGTGTCTGAACAGCTGGAAGGGCTTTCCATGGACACAGCTCAGTGGCACCAACAGCGGGCTTGTAACGTGTCCATGGCAGGGCTCGAGTCTTTCCAGTGCTTTGAATTAAAGCTGGGAGTCTCCTTTTTTTTTAGCGTGAGCTCTGCTATTAAATTTGACAGCCTCCCCCCCTTCAATGCTGAGCTGCTCTGAAACTACATTTGTTGATAAGGGGCAGACTTTCACTCACAGCTGTTATTTCTATAAAAACAAAAATAAAAATACTAAGCAAAAATAATAAAACTTGTCAGAAACTTCATGAATCCACTACCCACAAGTACATATTTTACAACCCTATTTTCTATTAACCCAGTATTTCTATGCAAAAAGTCTCTTTGTGAGACTTGTCTTCAGTGACAAAAAGCATCAGTAAGTTCTCTAAGCATACATGATGCAAGTCTCATAATTCATAATGAGCCTAGAATTGTACTTAGCAGGTTACAGGATTTGTATAAATTGATTTCAGTCAATTGGTATTTCCTACCTGCATGAAATGATATTCATAAAAGCATTGCAAACTGTTTGGAAAGCTAAGTGAACACAACTTCTTCAGGTGCCTCTGAAGGAAGATCAACACTTTTGTTCTTCAAATTCCTGTTGGGCATTGGGATGCAGTTTGGCATCATTAGGCACTTACAAGTATTATTTTCTGCCAATTGGGGGATTTTTTTAAGTGCTTACAATGATAAAATATCGGGCAATAGATTTTCAAGGATGTTTATTGCAACTGAAGCATAAAATACATATATAGGAGGTTTATACACTGAGCATGGTGCTACCTGATTTGGCTTTGTTGTGCATCTCTGGACTCTACAGTTGCATTCTCTACATTCTGAGTAAAATATATTTGCCAGGTGGTGGGCAGTGGAAGTCAGTTCTATATGCTTGAACTAATGTGCAAATAAGTCTGTAGCTGATTTGGTAATTATTCCATGAAGACTCCAAACCCTGGAATAACAGTTTTTACATTTCATACTGAAGAGTAAATAAGTAAATATGGACTTAGAAAATATTTTATGAAAATAGTAAAATAGATACTTTCTCAGTATTGTGGAAAACAGTCATGTTGGCATTTTAAAAGAATCGTTGAATCCTTATTCCATCTGCAGTTCTCCCAGGCACACTGTGAATTTCTAGTCCTTACTCATCTAAGGATTCATCTAAGGAAAAGAGGGCAAATTCCTTTTGACAAAAAAGACTTTCAATCTTTTTCGGGAAAAAAGGAAAAGTTTAAAATAGAGAAGGTTTAAAATGCATCATATTGCAAACAGTTGAATTACAAATTTTCATTTTTACTTGTAAGTTCCAAAACTGAGAGAAGAGAAATTAATAGTAGAATAACAGTGATGTGCCCAAACCAGTTTCTCAGAACAAAATAATTTAGTGACTCTATTTACCTCTAAAATGGATGGCAGTTATCAGGTTTCAGTATTTGCATTATGTAACAGATTCTTCAAAACTTACTAAGAAGTGTTCAGAGTGTGAAGACAAGGGTAAACAATCATCAGTTGCAGAGTTTACCAACTTAATTTGGTATTCAGTTTGATAAAGTAGTTTTCCACAGTGCAGAGCCTGTCATCAATATTCAGTCCACAGTGAGCGAATTCTTACCTAGATCTGGAATAGAATAGGAGACCTATTCCTAAGTTAAATTCCTGCTGCAGTAAGTTTTTATTCAGACACAGAGTATATAAATTTTATTGCTAACTAGCACATGGACAGATTCTAATCTAATCACACATCATATTGAAAAGTTCCCTCTGGACTTCTGGAATTGAAATACAGCTCAACATGCCTGTATTGATATTACAGAATGAGTCTGGCAGATTTGGGAGAAGTAGAAATCCTACTTGTTTTTATATCTCCTCTTTGTGTTTCATTAAAACATATTAAGTGATGGCATTGGGACATAGCTCACCTCAGACAGCTGACAAGCTGGATCATGTGAAAGAGTTGCAGAAAAACTCTGAAAATAGTAAGTGGGGATGCTGCAATATGCTATGACACTGCATCCCTTCCACTGAGCATCATCCATAGCATATTGATTCATCAGCACAACATGACATTGTAACATCTTTTACTTTCCCACCTCCCCTTTCCCAACTGCAGAAAAGAGCAGAAGGGGATATTCTCCACCTTATAGTCTTTAAATACCCACCGTTTTCACATCCTAGCAGGCATAATTATAAGTAAATATGAGTCACAGAGGCTTATATGTTAATGAATGAGTTTGTTCTTGCATTTTTGCCTGTATCAGGCAGCAGTGGGAAGTAAGTATATTTCCTACATTATTAATGCTGTACACTCCAAAGCAGAAGGAATAAATTCATGAATTCCTGTGAAGAACTCCATGGGGCCCATGAGCTACATGACCAGATTTGTTGTGTGAAAATAGATAAGCAGCTCTAGAGAAGTAGCTTTTCTGTCCTTCCATATCTGTAACAACGGGGATTTCAAATCCTGATACTGTTACTGAATCTTAAAAAACATATCCAATGATTAAAGACAACAGCTCGGGGGACCAAACTCCTATTACTTGAAATATTTGGATCAGAGGCTCCAACTGTTTTTAATGCAGAATTTGATTGATTCAGTGAGGGTTCTGTAAGCCATGATCTGTCTTGTACAACAACAGGAGAAGAGAGGATCGCTGCTGGGGAATGGCAGTGTGTGAATCTGCATTTCTGTGAAACATTCACTTACCCACCCCTCAAGGACAGCATCCTCCATATTTTGAGCCTGAATTTTGTTATAACCATGTTTATCACAATTCAAAGAAGCTGCACAGTGTAGAATGTCATTATCTTAACTTTCAGTCTGCTTGATGTATTAAGGAAGTTTGTCCAGAGCTTTCAGATGCTGAAGCCAGTATGGATGAGTTATTTAGGAATACAAAATACTAATACTTGTTAGTTTGTTAGTACGTAGGATGACAGCTAAAACAAAAAAGGTATTGGGGTTTTTTTGCACATATATGAATTTAAGAGTAGCAGGGCTGAAGCAAAGTTCTAATGCCCCCATTTTTTTCTCTTGTTTTCAAGGAATCACTACAGTTCTAACAATGACCACTCTCAGCATCAGCGCTCGCCATTCTTTGCCCAAGGTGTCCTATGCCACTGCCATGGACTGGTTCATAGCTGTGTGTTTTGCCTTTGTTTTCTCTGCACTTATTGAGTTTGCAGCTGTCAACTACTTTACCAACCTTCAGGCTCAGAGAGCACTGAGGAAGGCAGCCAGGGCAGCAGCACTGGCAGCAGCACTATCGGCAGCGACTGTACCGGCAGAGGACGAGATTGTCTCGGTAATTGCTTGCTTTTCTCATAATAAGCATCATATAGGAAGAGGCAGCTGAAGTAGTGAATGCAAAACAATATTAAAGTGATCTTAACCTGAAACAGATTATGTAACCAGATCGTGTCTGATTATCACAGACACTGTTCGTATTCAAGAAAATGAAAAGTCTTAAGTTATTCATGCTGTTTATTTAAATCTGAGACATGATTTACCAGAGATGTTTATTTGGTAAGATACTTAAGGAAAGTCATTAGACTGTTATCTGTAATACTTCTCTTGAGCAATGCTGTAGGCAGTGTGTGTGGTCAGGCAAGTGTGGTTCTCAGAAAGTCTGCAGAATTTGTAGGAGAGTGTACAATGGAAGGAGCATGTGCCTTGGCCAGATGATTATGGGATCACTGTCAGACACAGTACATACCATAAGTGGGTCATCTGGAAGATGGGTAATTAGCTTTTACATAAACTTGGCATCTGTTACTTCTCTAAAAATCTGTGTTGGTGAAAGTTTGGGGAAAAAAGCATAAATTAAGGATAGATTTTAGAACATGCGAAAGACAGGAAGTCTTTCTAGTATCAAAAAAGTATGTCAGAATTGCCTGTAAATATTATTCCTTACATCTCAGGCTAAGTAATGAATGCTGCTTCTCAACATATGTTAATGCATTTATAACTATAGCCCTCCTGTTTCAAAATCAGTTTTACTACCACAACAATTTCCATTTTTAGAGGAATAACAGAATTGGAATGACCTTTTGCAAAACCTCTGAGTCTGTAAGGAATAAGGAAGTCAATCTAAGAGGTGCCTGTATCAGGACAACACCTTATTCACCATGTAGTAATGTTTCCACATTTTCTTATAAACAGCAGTTAAAGTACATTTAGGTACATTCAGACCACTAAACTCATAATGGATAAGTTCCATATAATAGCAAAACCAAAGCTCCACAGCACCTTGCTGCTGGTGCTCATTAGAACAAATGCTCTTCTACTGGGAAGCATTATGCTTGTGAGCCATGTTGTATTTTGCTTATAATGGCATTAATATTGAAAAGAAATTAAGACATTATAAGCCATAAGAAAGAAATTAATTTTACTTTCATTAAATATCTAAATGCAAATAGGAAAAAAGAAAATCTTTATATATTTTAATCAAAAATATTTCAAAATACTATGAAGCACCCTCCTTCCCCCTTCAGTCTAGTTAATTTTATTTAAAATATTGCTTTATTTGAATATACAGAATTTTTCACACAGTAGTCAAAAAGTCTGTACACTCAGGAAAGAAAGATGTCAGAAGCCCAAATTCTGCTCTCCTGTACTGGTGGAAGCAGGAGCAGCTCTGGTGCAGTGGCTGACCTGTGCTGGTTTGGAGGAGGGACAGGGGTCTGGCTGAGATCATCCAAGGCCTGGGCTGGCTCCAGGACAGCCTCTCTGTTGACCTCAGTTAACTGAGCCAGGCCTTGGCTTGCTCTGCTGTCAGCTGCAGGCCAGGCCTGTGTGAAACACAGACCTAGGGGTGTTCCACTGCAAACCCGATGGCAACAAGCTGGGGAGTCATCTGGCCCCTGACACAACCCTGTGTTTATTCATGTGGTGGCCAAGCTTGTTTCAGCATGTCAAACCCAAAGGTGTTACATATACACAGGTATAAAAACCACAATGACAGTTAGCTTTTTAATCCATTTCAAATGTAAATTTTCTGTATCACTCTTATTGTTTCATCACTATGGCTTTCTTTATGCAGGAAGATCCTAATACTGGAATTTGCAGGAGAAGGGAATTGGTGGCACTTTCTGGAGTGCACCATTTGAGTAATGCTTTGTGAGGTGGTCAGGGAATACACCCCATGGATCAAAAGACATCCTTTCCATGTGAGAGACTACATTTAAAAGACAAAAGATTACCACCCTGTAACAGCTTGATTCCCAGTTATTTTCTGAAAGACCTCTTGTTTTAACAGAAAACAGCACAGAGCAGGGAAATCCCTCTGGGAGAGCTTCCTTCTCCCCACAACCTTGTCCATGTGCTTCAAAATAACATGGCTTGGGCAGAAAAGGATTCTCATTTTCTTTGAGAACCTTGGCCAGCTGCAGAGCAGCCATATGTCACTGGTGTAGAGGATTTAGAATTCCTTAATTACATCAGAATATATTGAATATGTTTAATGAGTGTTCTAGTATAACTAAGGGAGAGAGCTTCTCTTTGGATTATCAAGCACCCTTTATGAGACCATCCTAGAAACAGCTACATGCATTAAAGTCTTGGCTGAAAACGTGGCATTTTCCATCAAATTAGGGAGACCTTCCTGCTCCTTCACAATTATCAGATCATCAGGTAGACTGTTAAAAACAAACAGCAACTTTCAATTATATTGACTTTTGTCATCCCAACAAAAAAAGTAGATGCTGATTATTTGTTTCTGCCTGAGATAAATATTTGTCTGATTGACAAAGCCAGTGCAGAGCAGTAAGGAAGATTTAGAAGTAGCTGATATCACACTCAAAAACAGGAAAAAAAAAAAGATTAACTTGATTTCAACATTTTTTTTGTTCAACACTGAAGTCTAATCCCAGTACTTTTTTCTGGGGAAGCAGTGAGAACAAAATTAAGTAAGTTAAATTACGGAAAAAACCTCAAACAAACCTCTCTAGTGCTGTTTGTGTAATTCTGTCTCATTTAGACACTTGAAGCAGTTTCTCTATGCTGCAGAAATTTTGCAAAGTAAAGGTAGAGACAGGGATTGTTTTGGACAGACACTGATAGATTTAAGAGCCAAATGTGACTCTGAACATTTAAATCTGTTTCACAGAAAAATATATTTTGACAGCAGAGGGGCTCTGTAGCAGTGATATGATTTTTCCAGTATGCTACAAATGAATGTTAGGAAGAGACTCTGCCACAGCACATCCCACTGCAAAGAGGGTGACGATGGCTCCAGTCTCTGCTGTCCTTCATGTGCACCTGCTTTATGTGGCAGCAATTTTAGTCCAATGGGCAGGGGATATTTTTCAAAGTCATGTTTTCTGCCTCTGCTTTGCATGGAAAGCCCTTAGATTTTCCATGCAAAGTAAAATAGCTTTGAAATAATAAGGTAACAGCCTCTCCCCCTAATCACCTTTACCTGGTGGTTAGGCTAGATTTTGAGAAAGATGAATTTCAGGCCCTGAAGGTTAAGAAAGAATTTGAACATGGTTTTCCCATGCTCCAAGTGAGTTATTCAACCTAAGTAATTTAACCCTTTTACTAAGGTAGAACATGATGAAAACCAATCTGCATGTTATTCCTCATAATATTTCTAGCAAAGGGAACCTAAATTCCCTAAAGAGATGCCTAAAGCTAGGGCTGTTAATGACTTCTAAACTATAGTCAGCTTTTAATTGTGCAGGACACTGTTTATAGATGTTTGCAATAGACATCTTTTGAATCAGATCCCACAGATGGGATATGCAAAGAAATGTCTAAATTAGGGGTTATAATGATTGTCTGTCAGGAGATGGATGCTGAAACTGCACAGGACTGTAAAGAATGAGGTGCCTTCGGGCATGGCCAAAAGAAGATGTTACACAATGGGATGGACTTTCCTGCTGCAAGATGCTGCATGTGGATTGTTCAATAGCTGAGCAGTTTTTACAGATCCCACTGTTGGATGGAGGAGCTAATCCATGTTATCTCCCTCTTTGGGATCTGAGTCATTAGCATGTGCTGTCATGTGTGTCATACAAATGTTTGAAACTGCTCAAACTGTATCTACTGATGAGCAGAGACAAAGGATGTTATGTGTTTAATTTAGCATTCTGCCCTTGACAGGCATTGAGTTTTGGTTCTGGGTTGGGTTTTTTGTGTGTATGTTTTGTGACATTAGCAAAGTTCAATATCTTTAATCCAATAAATTATAAAGAAAAGGAAAATAACCCACTATTTTTATCTAAACTTTTAGAGTATATTTTACTGCATTGCTGCCAGGAAAAAGAGATGTGAGTGAGTAAAAGAGAGACAAGTAAAGACATAGAGATATTAATTTGTTTAAAGTTAGCCAGTATCTGAGTTGCATATTTAAGATACTGTTACTGTTAGATCATAAACTAAACTGATAGTGAGAATATGTATTTGCAGTACAAAGCAACAGAGAAGAGCTGAGAATTCTACAAATATGAATTATAGAAATCTCTTGAGGGAAAGAAACATAAGAACAAAGTGCATTCATAAATCACAGTTACCATCCACATCAAAATCAGAGAAGGCAGACAAAGAATTCTGTTTACTCTTCAGTTATATATGCTGTATTTTTTGAAACCTGGAAGCCAAGAAATTTGCTGAAAGCCTCCTGAGATATTCTGAGAGTAAGCAAGTTCTAGTGATACTGAGGAGAGTTGTGAGGGAGCAGCATCTTTATGGACAAGATGAGACTGCTTTGTGGGCTTTCCAGGGGATGGGATTGCTTGGCTGCAAAAGCTTAATAGAAGGCAGACTGTGCCTTACAGAGCACAGACATGCCAGGCTTTGTCTAGCCCAGTGTTCTGGGATCACACTAAGCAAGGCCCTGGCAATCTGTTCTGGGTCACTGGGTGGGCAGAGACAGTGGCAAGTTTAATTGCCCCATGGGACCAACATTCCACAGGAGTGCCAAAGCACTGCTCTGCCTCAGGGTTCAGTGACTTCAGCAAAGCCAATATTTCATTATGACACTGTGCCACTCTTCAGGCTCCCTGGAACACACTCCTTACTTTCTGAGGGATTGGCTCTGGGAACTATGCAAAATAAGCTGTTCACTGCGTTTTCTCTGTGTTCTGTTAATGTTTCATGATGTTATTGTGGGTAATCTTTGTCAAAAGGAGAAGTTAAATCTAAATATAGTATACAAATTACTGTAGCTGGTGTTCAGAACTCAACTGTCGTGAATTCCAATGAAATATATGAGTTGTGGTTCTGGGGCAGCAAGTCTGGTCTACAGTCAGCTACCAAACTGAGAAACATCTTCATTGCATGTGGGAGAGAAATTCATAGTGGTACACAAGAAAATACACTTGACCCTGAGTTTACACTTTTCCAAATGCCTATTCAAATGATCACAAAGATTTTACTACCTCCACATTCTAAATATGCTCACTACTGAACATCATCCACAGACCATATGCTACATCTGTTCTACTTACTATTAACTCCATCACTGTAGCACAACAATTACTGATTCATGCTTGAATGATCCAGAGCAGAATTTGACCCACCTTATACCACAATATTGTAGGACTAAAAGGGCTAAAATTCATCTTAACACCTACATTTTTTGGAACCACTTATTCTCCACAAAGGTGAAGTTATTCCCCAGTACAGTGAAAGCCAAGATACCTTCCAGCCTGTCCAGTTCAGCTCAAAGCAGGGCAGGCAGACAGGGCAGCAACTTGACTGGGAGCAGCCAGGCAGCTCAGTGTGTCTGTGTGAGAGAGGGATTATTGTTCTGATTAGTGCAAGTGGACATGGATAACCCTCCTTCTGTTCCTGTGACACATCTGGAGATCATCCCCCTTTTAAATCGCTCTGTTTCTTGCTGTGTTACTGGAAAATACAAACCCGAACATCTGTGTTCCAGATAGGCACAGCCCCAGAGCAGGAATGCTGTTTAACACCATTCCAAACATGGCAACAACCACATAATGTATAGAGGGGATGCTGGAAGTGGTGATGGGTTGTAGGGGAAGAAGAAGGGCAATAGGTAAGAGAGAGAAATACAGAAAAAGTACCTTTTTTTTTTTTTTCAAATAAAATGTTGTTCTCTTTTTATTCAGACTAAAATCATCTCTCCCTAATTTTAGTTGGATACCAGTCCATTCATCCATGAGCAGAGCTCATGTTGTAGCAATGTCCCTTGTTCTGATTCTCTGACAGTAACACTGACTGCTGAAAGGATAATTCCTGTTATAACTATATTTTAAATCATCCAGGGGACACCAGGTGTGTTAGGCTAGTCTGTTATCTAGAAACTGGCCCAAGTACAAGGGTAGGCAATGTATTTCAGAAAATGCTGCTTTTCCCTTTAGTGACCCTGTCATTTATCTGATTGCCCAAAATCTGTTCCCATGCTTAGAAATCCTGCAAGATAAATCCCAGAAATGCTGACAGTGGAGTACATTTAAGTGAATGGTTGTCATTAAATCACTCCCAAAGAATGCCTTTGGACATTGCATATCTAACAGCACTTTTCTACCTTAAAACCATTCAAATGTTACCCTTCCATTTTACTATAGATGTCTATGCTGTTATATTGCCAGTTATTTACGTTGTCTAAGACTTCCCTCACCTGCTTCAGTCATTTGGCCATCAAGTTCTGCTGACCAAAAAAGCTACTTATCTAACCCAAGAATATCTGTATGTTGTGCAATTTTTCAGCAATAATCCAGGAAGTGATTTTTTTCAGTTCTTTATTGACAAAGATTTAGGCTCAAGCTCAACTAAACTGTTGTATGTTAGCTTTGTGTTTGAGAGCCAGAGCCATTACTGTCGCTCTGGGTTAGAACAGCACAGCACCTCATCAAAACCATAACTGTTAGAACAGCACAGCACCTCATTGAAACAATAAAAACCAACTCAACACTCTTGGCATTCTTCTGTATTTTCTCAACCACCAGATGAATCTTTTGGCTGCTTCCCCACATCCACTAATGGCAGTCCTGGGATATGGCAGTGGGAACAAGGTTTTTGAAATTTTTCTCCTATTTGACACTCCTATGAAAGTGGGCAACTGATATCCATTAGGCTTGGAGCCTGTGGCAGACCCTGTTCCTAAACCATTTCTGCAAGGAAGAAACCTATTACTTCTACTCTTGTGAAAGTAAAATAATGGCAACTTGGCCACAAATAAAACAGATGTACATAATGAATATACTTGTGAGCCTAGTAACTAAAAGGTAAGCTCTAAACAGTCCTGAGTTCTGGCTGGATTTTCTTACAGCTTTCTGAGAATAATTGGACCTGGCTATGAATATTGCACAAAATATGGGAGTCATTTGGTTTCATTTTACCATAAATGAAAATAAAAATTGCCCCATTACAGTTAAGTACATTTGTCTTCAGTCAAATGCATGGAAACGCTGTGGGAATCATATATTTGAAAAGGAAATTTCATCCTAGAAAAAACAACACAATTTAACATTCATGTCTTCAGCACCTGTAAAGTTACTCCATTGCCTTTTGTGCAGCAATTTTGTAGCTCTTGTGTGACAGCTCGACTTCATTCAGGGAGTGTTTACTGAGCTTATCCCTGGGTTCATGCAGGGAAGACTGTGCTTGAGCCAGCCATGTGTGTTATCTTGTTTAAACTTCATCCATATCTGCATAAACTTCAGTCATACCAATATATTGCAACTTAGATGCATCATTACCTTCCTCTCCATTTAGCTCCATCTTTTCTTTTTCTCTCTTGTAGCTTCCATGTATTACTACATTAAAAATATGAAAAGCACATATTCTGCCCTGTTTTTCCAGCAAAGCCTTAGGCCACAAACATACCTCTGTATATTTGCAGTATTTCTGTGATTTCCTTAGGTTGCACTATAGCAGAGAAGCAATGATAAAATCAGAAAGTTGAGTAAAAAGATGGAGAGAAGCCTAATGATCACAAAACCTAAGACTGTATCCAAAAATCACCCTCTTTTTTCCTCTCCCCTCTTTCTTCTTTTCTTCCACAGCATTCTGACTCCAACTCTAACCTGAAGAAGCGAGTAAACTCTGTAACATCTCAGGCAGAGCAGTCTCCTGAACCCAGCATAATATCAAATACTGCATCCCAGTGTCAGGCAGTGTCTGTGCCTCCACCAGCCCCACCACAACCACCAGCTATTGGAGGTGCCAGTAAAATAGACCAGTATTCCAGGATCCTCTTTCCAGTGGCATTTGCAGGATTCAACCTGGTGTACTGGGTGGTTTATCTTTCAAAAGACACCATGGAAGTGAGTAGTTAATTTTCTGAATACTTGTTTATAATATATGTTTACTTGGCCAATATGATTTCAACTGTTCATGTACTCCTGTGACTCCAGGCAATCAATGAGTCCTTTCTGAGGAATCCCAGAAGGTTTGCTCTGACAAACCAGCCTGGCCTGCAGTGCCCTGGAGCAGCTGTGGCATCAGCACAGCACAGGGGCAAACCCTCAGCTCTCAGCCAGGTTGCACTGAGCACAACCTGCTGTGTAAGACAATCTGTGATGTCATTCTCGGCAAACAAACTCATCTTAACTCTTCCATTTCTCTACCTGTGTGCAGTAAGGAATGGTAGAACTATCTTTTGAAGCAATGCAGTGAAGGAGATAAGAACTTTAATATCCTAAAGTTTTCTCAGTGAGGTAGTACAGTAAGTCTCCCCAAAAAAGTTTCTTATGCATAGTATGAAAGATTAATAACTGCAGTATAAATTTTGTGAGTCAAGAATCCCCGGTTTTATACATTTTAATGTTGATTTTCCCTATTTTTTTTCATATAACTGCACTGTTTTATGCAGATGAAGCTGTTAAATTCTTTGCTTAAGTTTGTTTGAATCAGGTAGAGAGAGATATCCATGAGGTCCAGAAGAGATGTGTGCCCTGCAAATTGGGCATGTCTAGAATAATCAGTCAGTGATTAGCCATTAAGTCTTTGATGCTTTAAATCTCTAATTTTTCCCTTTTTGCCTAAACACAGTTAATGGTTTCCCATTTCCTTAGTAAAAAATACATTCATTTGCCTCGTTGCCATAGAGTTTTTGGATCTCCCTGTACATTGCAGTCAATATGATTGGTACATTTAGCTTTATTTAGGACAGCTAGAGAGATAATGAGGGTATTTAGATAGCACTGAATGCACAAAGTCCCCACATCAATCCAAACAGGGGCTGGAGAGCTGTGCTGGTGGGGCTGGACCTTCATCTCCTGGATAAGAGGGAAAGCTGAGGGGAATGTCTGAGACAGCCCAGAGGTGCTGCAGGTCAAGGGGCCCAGGACAGTGCTGAGCAGGTGCCTGGGGCACGTTGGCTCTGCCTGAGGCACGTTGGCTCTGCCTGAGGCAGAGGCTCCCAGCCTCTAATTTGGCTGATTGTTGCCCCAGTGTGCCGTGGGAAATGCTCTCTCAGAGCTGGAGATGCTGCCAAGCAGCTTTGTGGAACCAGGAGGGCAGGAAGGTGGGAGGCACTGCCTCTGCCAAACCTTCCTGCAGATGTCTCTCTCGAGAGGCCACAGCTGCCAACTCCTGGCCACTCCAAACGTGGCCAGTGATAAATGCAGCATTTGTGCCAGAATTACTGATCCTGCTGTTAAAATGCTGCCTGTGTGTGCAAAGTCCCTGCAGAGCAAGGCAGGAGCGAGCAGCTCCTGGACACCGTGCAGCCCCTGGGGAGGGGTTGGTTCCTCAGCTTGCCCAGCTGCTCTCCAGGGATTCCATTCAGCCTTCACACTTTGCAGCTAGAAATATTTGGAACACAGTTGCCATTTCCCCTGGTAGTGAGGAAATATTTACACTAAACCTCGTATATTAATAGTTACATTAGAACTAGCCTTTTAAAATACTTGAAAAGTCTATGACAAAGTGCTGACTATAAATATTTTTAAATGCTGCTTTGCAAGCTCACAAATATGCTCAGAAGCTCAGAAATTATGTTCTGTAGTAGCATCATAGACAGACAGAAATCCAACAGCAACATTTAGAAAAGAGAGAAGTATTGACAGCTGGGGTGTTTGGAATTATGAAGAATGTAAACAATTATGTAAAATGTTGATCAAGCTCTTCTTCATAAATTACATTTTCCTGTTTATGTACTCATTTGTAACTAATAATGATTGTGATATACACTGCTAGGTTTCTAAATCAATATGTTGTATCACTTTACCAGTTGTTACTTTCAAGGAAAACTAGGATTTCTTTTGCTTTAAAAACATTAAAAATAAGTAAGCCTTTCTAGTCAAGCAGAGGAGATACAAAAGTTAGGTG